ATATTTAAAAAAATAAATAATAAATATTTATGAATATTTATCGTAAATATTCTGTGCTGTCTGGTTTTATATAAAATCGGGGAACAACGTAAACTGACATACTTGTTTGTAAGACATATCATAAGCTAACTTAATCTTTACATAGTGTTGCGTTATAGTGTCAAATAGTCCTATCGAAGCTGAAGGCAAATCTGTATTTATGGGGAAAGACCTTTAAAAAAAAAATTGTCGTTGACAGTAATTTTTTTCTTTTATAGGAGTCATTAATACCATTTAAGTACAAAATATCTACAAGTGAATGTACATTTTTTAGAATCTTTTTACTTCGATAAAAAACATTTTGTTTGATTTATATATTTTAATAAGTATAAAGCATATAAATTATTTTCTATAAAAGCAAAAGAATAGGAATACGTGGCATTACTGCTTACTGTCAGTTTTGGGACCCATTTCGTTAAACATTTATCTTTGCTTATCTTACAAAAAGTTAATTATTGCAAAATTATAAACAGTATTATAAAAATTGCTACATCATCTGACGACATTTTCTAGTTTGTATTTGTTATGTTTCTGAAGTTTGATTTTATTTTTAGCTTTTTTTAAAAATATTGCTTAAAAACAAAATTGTATGTCGATCAGCAATCTTCTTCTGCTATCAAAGAAAAATCAGAAAGGATTCGGTATTACGTTATGACGCAAAGTTACGTTTGCATACGCAATCTTGGCTAAATTAATCACTTTCGCAATTACAACTATTACAAGCTTATCCGTATTCGCTTTTTGGGCGTGCAGCACAGGCCGTTTTCCTGGACTTGGCTGAAGATGTGGTGCATCGCATGGTGGCACAGCGGTCGAGACGACGAGGACGACGACGAGGAGATCGCTGGACCGGAGAGCAGCCACACCGGGGCCGGTTACGAAGACACGCTCACGCCGCTGTCAGCCGAGACGCCGCTTCCCAGCACGGTATCGCGATGTCCTTCCCTCACCGCGATACAGGGGATCGCCCTGGATAAGACTGCGCTGCAGCACGAGTTATACAAAAGGCCGGCACGGTCGGTCGACCTTAGAAATATTTCCAGCGATACCGTATGTGACGCTCCTATTCGTTTTTACTTGGGAATCAACTTGAGAAAAGATAACATCTTTTAGGTTCGATTTCATAATATATGGTTATCCTAAAGACTAAAGGTAATCAAGAAATTCATGAATGAATTTTATTGATGAATCTGTTGATAATCTTTAATCTTTAGGTAACCATATATTGTGAAAATGGGCCTTAATGTGTTTTCGAGGGGAATCAGTATTACAATACGCGGCTATTAGAATTATTAACAACGGCTGTGTTCAGCAGAAAAAGCAATTTTATAGCTATTGTAATAGCGAATTCGATTGGAAGCACTAGTGCGCACTGGTGCATATTAAAGCCATTGTATACTAATTTAATTTGAGTATAAAAATGAAATGCAAATATTTCGAATTATGAAATACATATTTTATCTAATAGTACAATAAAATGTATTAAATATTTCACGATTTAATCAATTTCTATGTTTATTTATAATAAACATTCCTGGTAAAATTTTCTGAAATTATTCCACTTTTTGGAACATTTCACCGAAATTATTGAAAATTTACTGAAATTTCACTGAAAGTTGAATTTTTCAGCTAACATACTAAAAAATCGTTGAAACTAAACTGAAATTATTCTGAAACTTCTCTGAAATTTTAATAAAATTTCTTTGAAATTTTGCTAAAAATGAATTTTTCAAATAAAAATCGCTGAAATTAAACTGAAATATTTATGAAATGTTGAAATTTTACCGAAAAGTGTTCCAAAACGTGGAATAATTTCAGCGAAATTTTTGCATTAGGGATATCTTTACATTATTTTGTGTACGGATTTAATGTGCACCAGTGCGCACTGAGTACGTCCAATTGAATTCGTAATAAGATTCTTTAATATAATTAAATTTTAAATCCATTTTATAATTGCATAAGCGTAATTATAAATAGTAGTTGTAGTTATAAGAATTGGCCAATCATAATCGAATATTAGGAGAATATTTGACTGTGATATATCAATTCTTATAATATAGTCACAATTATACTTATACGATTGTAGAATGAGCTTTAGATTCTGTGAAGAATTATAAGTTTTTCAAAACGTAATAGGTGTAATAATGCCTTAAGGAATTAATTAATTCGTTAATTAATTAAATCAATTAATTAATCACAGTCGAATGTGAAAATACTCGACTATGATTGGTCAATTAATAAGGCTTACTACGCACCTATTTCGAGACTAAGAGTAAGATCAATCATATTAAAGAATTTTACAATTACAAAACTGCTTTTTTTACAAAATGCAGCCAAAGTTACATATTATTTATTTATCTATTTAGCTATTAAATATAAGATTTGTTCTTTGGGTATCTTTCATTGGTTTAATTAGAACATTTTTTTCACTATACAATTTTTCAGTATACAATTTTTGTATTTAACGTGAAATCGAAATTTGTCGAAAGCGAGAAAGAAAGTTGCAGTATAGTCCAGTGCAATAATAATAAACAAACTTATTATCTTTAAAATTCCGATTGATTCACTTGAAGATCCATACTATGCGTGTGTCTCCTTGACTTCCAGATTTATACGATTCTAATCAAATTGCCGGGTAACGGCGGGAAATTCACCGAGGGGACGAGCATAAGGATGATACATGACGAGTCCATGTCAATCCAGTTGCACCCTATGATGGAAGACAGCGAAGATGACGGTGGTGTTGGCGGTAGCGGCAGTGGTGCCAGCAAGCTCTTCCGTCTCGGCGGCGGGTCCGTGTCGAGCCCATCGACGGTGACGATGAGGAGGCCATCGCAGATGCCGGACATCAGGATACCGTTGAATGCGAAGAACATACCAAAGGCTCTGACGACTGGCAAGGGAATACTGAACAAACAGCCGAACAAGAAAAAGAAGAAGATCCAGGAGAAGAAGGCCGATCGAAAGGCTGCGAAAACGCTGTCAGCTATTCTATTGGCATTTATCATAACGTGGACCCCATACAACATCTTGGTACTCCTCAAGTCCATCACCGCCTGCTCGTGGTACATACCTCAGGTGCTGTGGGACTTTGTTTATTACCTTTGTTACATTAACAGTACTGTGAACCCGATGTGCTACGCGCTGGGCAACGCAGCTTTCCGCAGAACCTACGTGAGGATTCTCAAGTGTAAGTGGCAGAGCAGGAACCGCGGTACCGGTGCGGTTGATCGGGGATGACATCAGTAACCCATCGATGCGCACTTCGATCTTCTCGCATCGAGGAGGGGAGCAATCTCCTCTCCATGCTTCCGATATCAGCACATTACAGAATTGGAAGTCAACGACCACGCGCGCGCGCGTGTGCACACACACATACACACACATGCATATACCGAAACAATGCTGTACTATTATTATTATTATTATTATTACTATTCTACTATTATTATCATTACTATTATTATTGTTATATCGCCGTTTACTTTTCCTCCGTTTTACGCGTTTCTCAGATTGTACGAAGAAGCGGAAGCGAGGAGACCGGCGACTGCCGCGAGTAAGTTTGGCGCTCGTGACTGCCAAACTTCCCTGTTCCTAGCGATATCGCTCGTCGTTACGGGTATGTCCGGTTGTCTAGTCCACACATCTTTCGGGCTCACTCTCCGGATCGTGCGCGACGTTTAATATCCGATCGGCCACTCACGCTATCGTCACGTAGATGAAGAAAGACCTCGGGCTTTCTTTTGCCCAAGGAACACACCAGAAGTGAGAAAATCAAAATAATTTTATACTGACTTCATGAAAGTCAAGATTTTTTATTACAAAATTTAACTGTTTGACATTAAAAATTAAAATAGAATTCCTTGGGTGAACGATTCTCCGTCCAAGGAACACATCAGGCATGAGAAAGTCAAACTGACTTTATTTTGACTTCATAAAAGTCAAAACGATGATTTGTTTTATTACAAAATTTGACTCTTTATTGACAGAAGAGTCAAAATAAAATATTTTTTATTTTTTATTGACTTTTACGTGTTCCTTGGATACTGAATAAGAGATTAACCCTCCGACGACCGCGTCGTTTTCGCGCGCTGACCGATCGCGTGCATTTTTCAGTGAAAATTCTATTAATCGTCAGTAATTACGCGGATAACTCGGTTATCCCCCGACGTAACATTGGAGTTTAACGCTCTCTCGAACGTAATTGTATCATTTCATAATTGCATTGACGTCCATTAACGCATAAAAAGAATTAATCACGAACTAATGTATTCTTGTCGGGGGGTTAATGACGTGACACCGGATGACGTGAACGGGTCCCCATCCTCATCTAAAGAATATATGAGGATTGTTTGTTCATAATATTCTCGAATAATCTCGAATTTCGACGACACTGATATCGATCGTCTATATCGAGACGCGTGAATATTTAATGAGGCAGTGGTTCTTAAGCTTTTTTGAGTCGCAAACTCTTGAGGGGAGGGAGGAGGGAAAATCGAGGGTTCTCAGCTTGATTATTATTTCAATATTTCAACAGTCGTCCGCCGGAATCTTTTCATTGTAATGAAAATTGACGTGGGATGACGGTACGTCGGAGACTTGGGGAAATTGCGAGAGAATCGAGAGGGAGGAAAAAAAGAGGATGCGGACTCGTTCGCGTTGGAATGGAAATCGCGTGCCGGCCGTTAATGTACTAGTCAAAACGCACGCAGCTCCGGTCTCCGAGTTTCGCAGAGAAGTAACGCGATGTGGATACTGCCATGAATTTAACATCTTTATTAATACCTCTCGAATATCGCGCAAGTCGCGCGAGTTCGGAATTATATATTGCGTATCCAGTGCCCTCAGGACTTCCCCGAGGAGTACTGGTACCTTCCCCCCCTTCGGTGCGATCGTCACCGTCGTCGCCGTGGTACCGGAGGCATCGCGCTGCCCCCGAAAGCTTCCCTTCCGGAGGAAAAAGGGAAAAGGGAGCGGCGGCGGTGGCGAGTAGCGTCGGGGAGAGTAGACGAGAGGAAAAAAAGCTAAGTCGCACAACAACTTATTTAAGTAAAAAAAAAAATATATATATATCGAAAGGATAACGATAATCTTCTGTACGCGCAGAATCGCGACTGCAAACACTCGATGTAAATTTTACGACGTAGCGAAGTGTAAAACTGTAAATGAATGTGTTTAAATATAATAATGCTGAAGGAGGGAGGGGGAAATAGAAGAGGAAGTGGGAGAAAAGGATTCGACGATGGGGACTGATGGGGAATAGTAGTACAGCGAAGTACGGGAAGACAATTAGCGATCAGAGAGAGAGAGAGAGAGAGAGAGAGAGAGAGAGAGAGAGAGAGAGAGAGAGAGGAGAGCGGGAGATTTAACGCTAAATCGAATTCTTCCGTAAAACTAAAATAATACATTCTAATAATACGTGCCAAAAGAAGCTTTAAAAGATTATACCAAGATTATACGACGTGAGAGAAAGAGAAATAGAGAGACGAGGCGGAGCGAAAGGGAGGAATGTCGTAGCGCACTCTCGATGCTATTAAGAAATGAGATACCAAAAAAATATATAGTTAATAAAGCAAAAAGAAATTAAATAAAATAAATAAAATAAAAGCACTGTGTCGAGCGATACACTTTAGCGATCGAAGGCTCGTAAAGTAATCAAAGTCAACCGTACGCGCGCCGACATGCCTATAGTGACCTCAAGACTGCGAGATTCTTCATTTCCATCCTTGCGATCATCTAATTATATAATACCTCGCGCATCTCTCGATTTTACATGTAGAAAGAAGATGTATTCTTTTACATATATAAGTGTTCCTTTTCTCTAAAAAGAAGAGATTTTACTCTTAAAGTTTTGCCACTCTTGAAAAAGAATGGCAGAATTTTCACTCCTTTGGAGTGGAGAGTTCATTTCGAAGAATTTAGAGAGTTGGGTAGTTTCTTCTTTTCGTTTCCATAAGTCGTACGTGTTCGTGTGAATGTTAAAGTCGATCCAAACTGATTCTTGGCTAATTTCCACTTGCGGAAACAAGAGGAATGTACTCTCGTCTTTCGCGTATTGTTCACTCGCCACTCGAAGAAGCAAGAAACATAATCGCTGCTCGAACAAGTGCGACAGCGACGTTCCTATGTACGCGTCGGCACGCGTGCGTTTGTACCTTGTACAAAATACCCACGCACACTAAACACGCACTCTCGCGCGATCAGCATACACATATATACACGGTGCAGTGTCGCGGATAGTACGTACTCGCGGGGATGCATCTACGAGAGTGAGAAGCCCGTCGAAAGTCACGCGCCTCTTTTTCGTCCACGACTAGTGTTCTTAGCCCCCCAAAAAATTCTTGGAAAAAATAATATTTTTAGTGGCATATTTTTTAGAATTTTTTTTAGCGTTATTATCTTTTACGCGAATGGTTTTAAAGCTTTTAACATTCATTTCACTCTTAAGTACTCCAATAAAGTAAGTAATTCAGTAATAAAATCCGTTGTCACCATTTATGAGATTTCTGTTAAAGATTTCTTTTTGTTAAACGTTGGATGATAATAAAGAAGAAAGCCAATTACGAGTAATGTTAAGATCCAGACATAAAGAACAGGATAAAGAATACAAAATTGAACATAAAGAATTAGTAATAAAGCTAGAGGCTGACGATACGATTTTTCGTTCTACTCTGACATTTTCTTAATTTTTTATGATTAATTCCATTTTTCTGTTCACCGTGTCTGATCATTTACTTTATGAATGGAGAATGTTTGCTTAGTCAAGTGCATTTTCAAAGTTGTGTATCTACAGCTTTTATAAAATCTTTCCAAAAAAAAAACCAGAAAAAAGTCAGATTTTTTCCGAAAATTAAGAATTTTTTAAGAAACTTAAGAACACAAGCCGCGATGATCCGAGTGTGAAGGGATCGCGCGATTCTCGGCTGGATCCCGTATATGTAGATCGGCGAGGAAGGAACTCGACGACAGAAATATTGATCACGAACGAACCTAGGTACATCGGGTGGACGCGACGGTAGTTACGTATCGGCAGTGTAATTAACGAGTACAATTAATCAATGATTTCGATCTATTATTCGGGTACTTTTGATACGAGGATTCGCGCTGATCGATTTAGAGACCATTACGCGAGCGATTACACTGATAAACTGTAAACACGATTTCTGTTTTCCAAAGTGCGACTAAGCAATGTCGAATTGTTTTATATAACGAATTCGAAAGCATTTTTCCTCCCATAGATGTGTTAAAGAATTTCAAGAAGAATAATCCCAATAATAATTAAGGTGTTATAAGCATATAATGATCGTTTGTTAGCTGTAAATCTTTAGTGAAGGAGTCAATGCGGAATGTGTCACATGTGAGGAAACAAAACCTATTCTGTAACTGTTAACGACTATAATATCATTACAGCCATTAAGAATTATAGAATCGGGTTAAAGGTTAATTTTTTAAAAAAAGGAAAAAGATGTATATGAATATCCGTATAATCTCTCGCGTTTTCTGGCATTTTTGAGCGCCGCCGAACATACGGGGGAAGGAAATAGCGTAAGACTCGGTGATATTTTTTTACCTTTATAGTCGATCTCGCGCGATTCGATTTTGCGTGACGCGAACGAATCGCGTTGATATTAAAATGCGACGGTAAACGCGAATGAGGCGAGTGATAGAACACAATGATGTTCAATGTTTTCGTTACGCTTGCATTTCTTCGTAACGTAAGAGGTGTTGAGAGATGGTAAACCCAAGCAGAAACAATAAATCATCATAACATCAAAATGATGTCAAAATGATTCCAAAATGATTATTAAAAATTCTTTTTTAATAATTTACGATTCATTTTAACGTCATTCTGACGTTATCATAACTTGTTCTACTTGGGAACCGCGGAATCGTTTCGAAACAAGAATTTTAGGCTTATAGCGTTTTTTGTCAAATTCGCGATTTCGCGAATCTGCGAGCACTGAAATTCAAAGAGAAGTTCAAGACTCTAGAGAACTGCGTTTCTGAGAAAATTATTGTAGTAATTTGCGAGAGAGTCGATGACGTTTCAAAGACTTCGAAATTTTAATATTTTGGCGCAGATAGAATAAAGTTGAAATTCAGAGATCTAAAATTAGGGAGACTGCGCGTGAATTTTTGAGAAAAGAGAGAATACACATGTCGAATAGTGGAAATTTATTCAAAAGATGGATGAACTGAAGGATTAATCGTATCGAAAGATTCGTTTTACTTTCGATCCAAACGAAATTTTTAAAAATGGTATATTATATTTATTGTATTTCTCGGAAAGTAAATGTTTAAAATGTAAGATTATTAATTAATATGGCAATTAGTATGACAAGAATACTTGTGGTATTTTAAATAGAGAAGCG